AATACAGCACCCATTCCTATTAAAAATACTAGAGAGGTTAAGAATAGATGGAACTTTCCTGAAATGATAACTAGTATCTGTCTAAAACCATCAGCAGACATTATCTATAATGGGGATAAACTAAAAGCCTTCCCAATGAGATCAAAGGTGAAACAAGAACGCTTAATATCATCATTATTATTCAATAATGTACTAGAAATGCTAGCAGTAGCAGCAAGAGAAAAAAAAAGAAATTGAAGGGATTAGAATAAGCAGTGAGGAAATAAAACTATCACTCTTTGTAGATGATATGATGGTATATTTGGAGGTCAAAACTTTTCATAATATTCTATGTTTTATATGAGATGAGCAACTAGGTGGCACAGTGGATAGAGTGCCAGGCCTGCAGTCAGGAAGACTCATCTTCCTGACTTCAAATCCAGTCTTAGGCACTTACTAGCTGTGTGACCCTGGGCAAGTCACTTAACACTGTTTGCCTCAGTTCCTCATCTATAAAATGAACTGAAGATGGACATGGCAAACCAGTCTAGTATCTTTGCCAAGAAAATCCCAAAAGGGATCATGAAGAGTCAGACACTACTGAACAACAACAACAAAGTGTGAACCTAATTAGTTCCATTGATCAGCCATTTTATTTCTTTTCCAGTACCCAAATATTTTGATTACTACTTTGCAATGTAGTTTGAGATCAGGTACTGCTAGGCCCCCTTCCTGTACTTTTTCCCCCCATTGATTCCCTTGATAGTCTTGCCTTTTTTTCTTCATGTGGAGTTGTTGTACTAGTACAACAGAGTAACATTTTGGTAGTTTGATGGCTATGGTACTGAATTAATAAATTAATTTAGATAGTTTTGTCATTTTTATTGTATTGGCTCAGCCTCCCCAAGCTATGAATATTTCTCTAATAGTTTGGATCAGTTTTTATTTATGTGGAGAATGTTTTTTTAATTATGTTCATATAGTTCCTGTGTGTATCCTGGCAAGTAGACTCTCAAGCATTTTATACAGCAGTTTAAATGGAATTTCTTTCTATCTCTTCCTGCTGGGTTTTGTTGGTAATAAATAGAAATGCTGATGATTTGTGTGGGTTTATTTTATATCCTGTAAATTTGCTAAGTTGTTTATTGTTTCAACTAGCTTTTTAGTTGACTGTCTAGGGTTCTGTAAGTATACCATCATATTATCTGTAAAAAGTGATGATTTTATTTCCTCATTGCCTAAACTTATTCTTTTAATTGCTTTTTCTTGTCTTATGGCTATAAGTAGACTTTCTTGTATAATAATGTATAATAATGTTGATCATGGACAGCCTTACTTTATCCCTGATCTTATTGAAAAGGCTTCTAGTTTATCCCCATTACAGATAATGCTTGCTTTAGGTTTTAGATAAATGCTACTTATCATTTTAAGAAAAATGCACTCTGTTCCTATGCTTTCTAGTGTTTTAATAGCAATAGGTATTGTATTTTGTCAATTTTTTTCTGCTGATTTCTTTGTTTTTATAAATGATATAGTCAAATTATGCTCATTGCTTTCCTAATATTGAACCAGCCCTACTTTCCTGGTATAATCTAGCCTGGTGATAGTGTATGATCTTTGTGATTTATGTTTGCAATATCCTTGCTAGTATTTCAGTTAAAATTTTTGCATTAATATTCATTAGGATGGATCAAGGGAGGGCTTTTTCAGGATAAGGTAGACCCAGCCATGTTTGTTGGCATTAAGGAAACATCCAGCAGACAGGGAGAGATTGAAGATAAATGAAAGAATGGTGCTGATCAAAGGGGCAATCTGCTGGAGAAGATGGGATGGAATGAGATCATTCCATCCAGGAGAAAAGAAGGGGAGTCCCAGCAAATGGCCTCAATTATTTTCAGTAAACTATGAGAAAAGGTTCTAAGCTGAAAGGATGAGGGGAAAAGAGCACAGGAGGTCTGAGGTGGGATGAATAAGTTTGGAAGAGTTGCTATGGAAAAGGGGATAGTGAGTTGATTATGAAGGTGTAGATTGGCTAGCAGTACTGAGGGCCCAGTTGAGGTAAAAGAAATTTGTGGTGGACCCAGTTGTAATGGTTACATGATTTTCTCCACTTCATTCAGCAGTGCATGTATAGCAGTGAAAGCAATGGATGATGGGAGAGATCCAAGGCTGAGGCTTGGCAAGGCACAATTGCTGAAATGATAAGGGGGCAAGGAACTCAAGAAGAAGACAGTGTATAATTGAAATAGAAGAGTGTGGCTAGTACAAGAGTGATGCCCGGGGAGAAAAGTGAAGGGCTGAGGGATTGGAGGTCATAGTGGTAGCAAATAGCAAGGGATGGTATGGGAAGGCAAAGGGAAAGATAAAAAGCTGAAAGACTATGATCAAATAAGGGAATTTCAGAGTTCACGAACATGGAAATGATGCATTTGTGAGAGATGGCAATATCAAGAGTATGACCATCTTTGTGTGTGCCTGAATAGGTCACGGGAAATGAGTGGTTAGAAACCGAGAGTTTATGATGTTGGAGGGAGTATCAATATGTGTTGAAGTCTCTTAGTATGAGGGCAGAAGTTGGGGAGGAGAGAGAAATTTAAGCCAGATATTGAACTCATTAAGGAAGGAAGGAGAGTGTCCTATTCACTATAGACATTAACTACCAAGATTTTGATTGGTGAGATAGACATGGATTATATGGACCTCAAAGGATGAGAGGTTACCAACTGATATGGGGGAGAGAGCCTGAGAAGTAACAGCGGGAAGTGAGGAGTATTCCAATTCTCCCACCTTGACCAGTGAATCAAGGGGAATGAATTAAAGTACAAACAACTCTGGAAAGGGTGACTAAGGAGGTTGTGCCATCAAGGAGGAGGCTGGTCTTTGTGATAGAAGATGGAATGAATGTGAAAGGAAAAGATTTAAGACAAAAGCAAATTCTTTGCCCATGGAGCAGGGATTCCAGAGGGCACAGTGGAAGGGGTGGGTAGCATTTGGTTGGGACTTTGGAGTGGGTGAGTGGAGGAATAGGAATGAGGAATTGGGTAGTGTGGGATGGGGAATGAGGTTTGTATGATGAACTACGAGGGTTCAAAATCACTGATATAGGAGAGTATGATTAGGTGGGAGTTTATTAATCATAAGTGAAAGGTGCCTCTCCTTTTCCCACTGGTTATTGGAGATCAGGCAAATAACCCACATAATAGGACAGAAGGAGCCAGGATTGTATCTCACATCCTCTTCTCTTCTCCCCTCCCCTTCTCATTTGTCATTCCTTCCATCAAGTCATTTCTGAGGTTGCTCCACCACCACAACTATTGTGTAATTATCTCCTTACATTGTAATGTGTCTTATGTCTCTTCTTGTATCCCCAGGGCTTGGCACAGTGCCTGACACTTAGTAGGTACTTAATAAATATTGATTGATTGATCGATCAATTTGCAGTTAGGTCACAATCATCATAAGCTTCTTTGTGATATGAAGCAATTTTCAATTCTTCAGAGACTGTCCAGTTCCAGATCTCATAGCCATAAGACAATTAAAGTGGAAAAAATATGGTAGCCTTTTCTGACCTCCATGCCTCCCCTTAGGTGAATGTGATCTTTTTCTTTTCAGATTCCTCCTAGTACTTTGCCTGGACCTCTCCAAAACCTTTGACAATGTCAATCATCCTCTTCTCCTGAATACCTTCTCCTCACTAGGTTTTCGTGACATTGCTTTTCTGCTAATACTATTCCAACCTGGCTAACTACTCCTTTTCAGTCTCCTTTGCTTGATTTTTCTCCCAGGAATGCCTCCTAACTGTGGGCACCCACCACCCAAGGCTTTGTCCTGAGCCCCCTTCTCTTCTCCCTCTCTACTATCTTATTTGGTGATCTCATGAACTCACATAGATTCAATTATTATCACTATTCAGATGATTCTCCAATATCTTATTCTATTATCAGCAGCCTGTTGGACATTTGCAGCTAGGTATCACAAACTCAACTTGTCCAAAACAGGACTCTTATCTTTCTTCCCAAGCCCTATTACCTTCCTGCCTTCCCCATCCTTGTCAAGGGCACTGCCACCAAGTGCTGTCCCTCACACATGACACCCTATCTCCCAACTCTATGTCTTAATGATCACCCTCCTCACTTCAGCCTTCTAGTTTGTTTGACTTGCTTCAAGACTCAGATGAAATCCCCACCTTCTGTAAGAGTACTTTCCTGGTCTTTCCCAAATTCTCATGCCTTACCTCTGAGATCATTTGCCATTTGTGCTGTGCACGTCTTGTATGCAAATAGTCTTTTGCATGTTGTCTCCCTTAGGCAAACAGCGGAGCAGTGGACAGAGCATTAGGCCTGGAGTCAGGAAGACCTGAGTTCAAATATAGACTCAGATACTTAGTAGCTGTGTGACCCTGGGCAAGTCACTTAATCTGTTTGTCTCATTTTCCTTAACTTTAAAATAGAGATAAAAATATCACCTTTCTTAAAGGTTATGGTGAGAATCAAATATGACAATATTTGTAAAAACACTTAGCAGAGTGCCTGGCACATAATAAGTGCTAACATAAATGTTTATTCCCTTCCCCTATTAGAATGTTTGCTCCCTGAGGGCGGGGACTTCCTTTCTTTTTTGCTTGTTTATATAAACTTACTACTTAGCACAGTGATCAGCATATTTTGTTGTTGTTGTTCAGTCTCAGTCATGTCTGACCCTTCGTGACCCCATCTGGGGATTTCTAGGCAGAGACCCTAGAATAGTTTGTCATTTTTTTCTCCAATGAAGCCCTTGGATCCATTTTTTCAGACAATCTGAGGTTAAGTGACTTGCCCAGGGTCACACAGCTAGGAAGTGTCTGAGGTTGAATTTGAACTTAGGTCTTCCTGGCTCCAGGCCCAGTGTTCTATCCACTGAGCCAACAGCTGCTTATACCTGGTATATAGTAAGGATTTAATAAATGCTTGTTGCCTTATTTACTTGAAAAAAAAAGTTACATTCTTAATGCCCATGGGTCTAATGGAAATATAACAAGCAAATAGCTTTATTGACATTGTTTATTTATATTTGCTTTGCCATTTCAGTTACATCTCTGTGCTGATATTAGAAATCTATATGACATATATTAACATATAGTTTAATTTTCCGTCAGAAGTTTTTCCTTTGTACATTTTAGTTACACTAATTGAGCTGGTGAGGAAGGATATTTTCCAATCATTAATTGCAGGAAACAATGACTGAATGCATTATTAGCAGCCAGTTTTCCTGTTGGCACACTGTGGCTTCATTAGTTTTATACTCATATAAATGGCAGTTAACATTTATAAAATACCATATTATAAAATAATAAATAATGCAATAAAAACTATATTCTACAATTAAAATAAGAGTGAACAGTCAAGCCAATGCTCAATCACTTCAAGTGTGCAAATCATTCTTTCCATTTCTATTAAAGCAACTAGAGCAGGTAATCATTTCTAATCTATAATACTTGCCCAGAGAAACAGGAACATGATGAAAAGCCTCTGGGCTTTTGCACTGCAAGATAACAGTTTTGAGGTTTGCTGCTCGTGTTATGAGTTCCTGTGCAAAGACAGAATGTTTCCATTTTAGGGGCAGCAGAATCTGCCAAAGAAAAGGATAGTATTGGTTTTGTTATGCCTGATAAAGAAAAGGAAAGGATGATCAGCCACAAACTGCAGTCCCACACGGCCAGATCGCCCTGTCATGACACCCCCGGTGCCAGCAGCTGCCTCCGTGCCCTCTTCATTGACATCTACGGCAGCTTGGTGGAACACTTGGGACAGAAAGAGATCATTTCTCTCTGACATTCCTGAAAAATTGGCTTCGCTTATGCTAAAGGCATCTTTCATTCCCATGCTCTGCAGAATGGACTTGAGTTCATAATTCTTTTCCAACTTGAACTTGGGCAGGAAAACATGAACATCATTACTCTCCATTGTGGCTTTTTTGATCCACTCATTAAGTTTTTTGTAGGTTATTTCTCTTTCTAGCTGCAGGAATAAAAATAAACACAAGGCATATCAATGTTTTTTTTTTTAAAGTCATTTAGTTCCAGTGTTAAAAAATGTGTTTCTCTTCTACTTGAAATGATTTTAGCCTAGTCATCATGAGAATGAAAATGAGATTTAATAGCCTTGTAAAAACATTTGCAGTAAAATGGAATTTACAGCATTTTTCAAGGCATTTTATTTAATGTTTTGGATAAGAATTTCAGGTAAAATTTTTTTTCATGTAGCACCGTTTACACATCTCCATGCACACATTTTCTAAAAATAGATGTGACCAATATCATGAAAAGTACTTTTAGCATCAGCCACTAATGATTAAAGTCTTCATTTCCTTACCAATTCCAACCCAGTGGAAGAGTCATTAATTTCATCAGGAAGCAGGACAAACATGCTGACATCACCAGCATACGGGAGTTCTAGAATCTGAGCCTTCAGTTCGTTTATGTAGCCAATGTGCAACTTATCTTGTAGGTACATCATCTGTACAGGTTTACGTTCAGTCTAATGTACAGCAAAGAGAAATAGGATGTTTGAGAACTGGCACATAAATTAAACACTTTCTAACATTAAACATCTTTTCATTATACACCTCTGATGAAAGTCTGATTGATGTCCAGAATCTGTAGGGACCTGATACAAGCTTATAGAGTTAAGAAATGTGGCCAGGTGTCATAGTGGATAGAGTGCTGGACCTGGAGTCAGGACAGTCAAAGTTCAAATCTGGCCTCAGGCCACATACTTGCTGGTTGTGTGACTCTATGTAAGTCATTTAACTTCTGTCTACCTCAGTATCTTTTAAAAAAATGTTTTATTTATTTTATTTTTAATTTATGGAATAAAATAAGCATTTCCATAAAAAAGATGATTGTACATGTAACTGCAAATCTATTATATACAACTTGCTGTTTCTTTTAAATATGTGATAAAGATCTCATGTAATTAAAAAAAAATTTTCTTCCCCCCCACCACCCTAAAGATGGCTACCGTCAACATGAGAATAATAATAGTCTCTACCTCTCCGGGTTACTGTGAAGATAAAATGAGATATTTGTAAAATGATCTGTAAACCTTAAAGTGCTATATACATGCCAACTATTGAATAGGTTTTGAAAGAAAAAATACTAATTATCAATGGTCATATGAAGAAATGCAAATTAATGCAATTTTGAAGCATCACTTTGTACCCATCAAGTTGGCAAACACAGAAAAATTCAATATTGGAGGGGCTATAAGAAGACACTTTTTCTAATTCATTATTGGTGAAGCTGTGAATCTAACCATTCTGGGAAAAAAATTGGAATTATGCAACAAAAGTTATTTAATTGTTCATTTAATCTGACCTAACAATCTCAAAACTGGGTTTGTATCTTGAGAAAAGCTAATGGCACTAAGAAAAGACCCATGGGAATATCAAAATATTCACAGCATCATTATTGGCAATGACAAAAAGCTGAGAAAAAAATTGTGGAATGATTAAACAAATTTTAACTTATAATAAAATATTATTTTGCTAGAAGCTCTGAAGAAGATGGGAAGAATTGTAAAATGTGAACAAAATGGGGCAGCTAGGTGGTGTAGTGAACAGAGCACCAGCCCTGGATTCAGGAGGACCTGAGTTCAAATGCGGCCTCAGACATATAACACTTACTAGCTGTGTGGACAAGTCACTTAACCCCATTGCCTAACCCCCCCCCAAAAAAGTGAACAAAACAGAGTTAAAAGAATATATGAACAAATACTACAACTATGTAAACAAAGATAACATATTGATACCACAAAACTCCAGTCAAACACAAGTGACAATGTGGATACCAAATGATTGAGATCAAAGGTCCTTTCTGTTAATAGAGAACTAGAAAATTGAAAAGTGAAATGTACTATTAGTCATAATGATGAAATGAGTTCTTTGTGGGGGAATTTTTCTGGGTGTTTGTTGAGCAGTATCTGTTGTGTCAAACCAAAATGTATCCATTTAAAAAACTGATAAAAAGGAATGTGAAATTGGACTAACATGTAAATGAAGCATGTTATTACAGAAGTCAAGAAAACTATGGTCTAACTAGAGGTAGTCAGTTAGAGATGGTAAATTGGGAAGTTTTATCAAGACTCAGATTTAAGAAGGGACAAATTTCTGCTTTTCATAGAATAAACAGAATGTCTTATTTATTACCATTACTTAGTATGTTGGTAGACCCTTACTGCACAATACTTGAAAGATTGAAATTAAAATCAATTTAATATGCATAATTAATTGCCTATATTAAAAGTACTATATAACAAGTACTAGAAGTACAACATTTTGTTTTGTTTTCTTTTGTTTTTAATGGATACCACCTTGCCTTCAAGGCAGTTATAGTCTTTCTAATAGGAACAGTGAAATATATACAAATAGCTACAACACATATCAGAAGGTGTCAAATTTGTAGAATGATATCAGAGGCTACTTCTATTTCCAACTCCTGTGAAGAGTGCAAAAGAGAGATCAAGCAAAATCTCCAAGTCAGAGATTGCTTCAAGTTGGAAGGATCATGAATAGCTTCAAGGAAAATATGGCACCTAACTGGTCCTTGAAGGAAGGGGATTGGGGGATTTCAACAGTCAGAGGTGAGGAGATGAGGATCCATTTCAGGGATAGGGGTGTGGGGAGGCATGAGTAAAGTCAAGGAAAATCAACAGAGAAGCCAATTTGCCTTGGTCCACTTTCCAATCTGTAGGTTATAATAATGTGATGTGAAATCTTATCATATTTTTCCATACCAAGGTCACTCGGAAAGGCTGTGGTCTCTTTGCTTTATTTTGGAATGGAGTTTTCCATTTTCCTTTGAAGTAAACAGCATTTACCAGGACCAACCTGGTCTCATCATTCACCGATCCTTCAGGTAACAGATCTGGAATTTTACCTGTAGAGAAGGATATACATTTAATAAATTATTATAATCATCATCATCTCATTCTTATTTTTTTCTAGAGTTCAGATAGAAATGGTTCTAGGACAAATCACTCTTTTGCCATTATTATTTTGCATTTAGTACTTTGGGAACTATCATGAAAGTTATTAAAATGACTGTCTTTTGTAATAAAATAAGAGTATTGGAACACACCTTCATCTTATTTAGACTCACTGAAAACAAAGGACAATTCCATTGGCAGGATTAGGAGGGCGACATGTGCTGCATCCTCTTTCCACATGGTTTTGTTTTCTCTTGCTAGATCTTTATGGTTTGAAAAAGTTTTACTCCATGCACTTTGGAAATTCTGGCAAACTGTTCTTAAATTTTTATGGAGGGGACAGCTAGGTGGCTCAGTGGATGGAGCACTGACCCTGAAGTCAGGAGGACCTGAATTCAAATCCGACCTCAGACATAACACTCACTAGCTGTGTGACTCTGGGCAAGTCACTTAACGCCAATTACCTCACCAAAAAAAAAATAAATAAATTTATGGATCGGCATTAGCCCTGAACAATTATGGGCAATATCTTTGTATGTAATGATGCCCTTGTTCGGGTATAATTTATTTGTTGAACTCCCAAAGAAATCTAAGGGCTTGTGTTTGTAGTGCAGGGATTTGTTGTCAGTTAGTTTGTAAAGGATAGTGAGCTTCTGGTGTGTAATTCTAGCCACCTCACCTTGTCTTTCTAGGTAACTGGAAGATGCTAAATTTTTGCAGCCTGCGGATGGAAGATAAAGTAGCTGTGCTCGCTTGAGTATTCCCATCAAATTCAAAGAGACTGTTTAAATTTGGCAAAGCTTTTGATATTACTTTTCTCCCAACTCCGGAAACCAAACACGCTCTCTAGGCTTTGCTTTGTTTTGTTTTTAAGTTTGTTAAATCCCAGATAAAATGAGAAAAAGATATTTTAAGGTTTTATTTCTCCATCCAATTTGGAAACTCAACTTTAACTACAATGAAGGTTATGTCCCCAGATTTTTGTGGTTGGAACAGGGTACCTAGAAAGGAGGGAGCGAGAATTCATTCAAGAGCACAGCCTTTACCTCCCAAAACTCATCTTTTGTCAGCAATGTCAGAGATAGAATATTAGCCATAAACTGATAAAATTCTGGATTAGGGCAGTAGAAGTGGGATTATAATGGGATGAATAAGATACAGCTCACCAGTATAAATGATTAGATGACTAATTAGCAATCATCTAATCAGGAAGCTAAACACCTAGTAAGGGAGGAAATTTTAAAAAAATGTCGCTAAACTTATTTTTGTAATTTCCCTTCCTAAGTCACTCAAGGTGTGATTTAAGCCTTTTGCCCCCTTGTTCTAGCCTCAGTGGAAATGGAAAATCATCATCATCATGACATGTTTGAAAACCTTCAAGTCACCTTTTAACATTCCCTTTTCCAAGCTAAATAATCTCAGTCCTTTATGAATTCCAAAAGCACAGAAGTACTCATTTTAAAATTTGTTCCACAGGATCAACACTATTTTCATAATAATATTAAGATGTTGTTTTTATATTAAGATACTCCTCCCTTTTCTATCTACCCATCTGTGTGGGCCACATTTTCTCTTATACTTTAACCAAAACAACATGTTATAGCAGTTTAAATGCAGAAGTAAATTTTAAAACGCAACTGTATTTCTTTTTGGGCAGCTAAGTGGTGCAGTGGATAGAGTGCTGGGTTTGGAGTCAGGAAGACCTGAATTCAAGTGTGTGCTTAGACATTTACTAGCTGTGTGACCCTAGGCAAGTCACTTAACCCTGTTCATCTCAGTCTCCTCATCTGTAAAATAAACTGGAGAAGGACATGGGAAACCACTCCAGCATCTTTGCCAAGAAAACCCCAAATGGAGTCACAAAGAGTTGGATATAACTAAACAAATATAAGTGTTTTTTAAGCCAAACGTTAGATTTTCAAAAATATGCAAAACTTCACTTTTCTCACTTTTTTTGTTTTGGAATTTTAAAAAATAAACATGTTATTTATGTTAACACACAATAGGTTTGTTATTATTTTAAATGAACAAATAAATGAATACTTTAAATGTATCAGTTTTAATTTCTAATACAGTAAGTATTGATAGCTATAAGTCACATAAACAAAAGCTCTTTGGGGTTCTCAAAAATACATGAAAGTATAAAGGGATCTTGAAACGAAAATGTTTGAGGACTATTACTTTGAGTAAAAAATTTATACTGTTATATTCACCAAAAGAAATAAATACTGAGTTGGTCTTTTTGTTTTTCAATTCAACCAATCAACTGAGCATTCATTAAACTCCTAATATATGCCAGATACTATGCTAGGGGCCAGAAAAACAAATATAAATAACAAAACAATCCTTGCTTGCAAGAAGTTTACTTTCTAAATTCAACAACATCTAAATTATAAATGCACTTTTTTCAATTGTCAAAGTGGTATAGTAGCACTTAGCACAGTGCCTGACACAACAGTAAGTGCTTAATAAATGCTTGTTTCCTTCTTTGCTTCCTTCCTTTCTGTTAAGCCCCTGTTAAGAACAGGACACCATGCTTGAATAGATGCAAAAAACAAACTCCCCTTGCTCTAAAGAAGTTTACATTTTACTTGGGGAAATCTGTGAGAGCCAACTTCAGGGATGTATAAAAATGTTGATGAGTCATAGCTTTTTAATTGGAAAGACATCACTATGAGAATTTTCTTACCTTTTGTCTGAGTTTCAACCCAGGAGTTGATCTCTTTTCTAGCTTCATTCGCATCTTCTCTAAAGTTAACAGGTTGTGGTTCTGCAGAGTAATATTCTTTACATTGCCTTAGGTATTCCTTAAAAGCAAGAACATCTCAAGGTTCATACAATTTTTACCTGGTCAGGCCAAAGATATAACTGCAAATCTTAGACCTGTCTTCAAGGTTAGGAGCTATGAGGATTGTATAACAAATGTTTGCTGAGCTTGGTCGGAAGTGAGGATGGCAAAGACTGCATTAAACCAGGTAGTATGCTGGGAAGCTGGCTACAGAGATCTTTTCCCTAGAAATCTAAATATCTTCTTCCTTTTGCCCCCTTCTCATCTACTCGCCATTCATTGTTTTTGGCTCTAACATCATCCTCATCATCACCATTCTCATCATCCTCATCAACAACAGCATCCACATAATTTCTACTATATTCCAGGTACTGTGCTAAGCACTTTTACATATATTATCTAATTTGATTGTCACAACAAACTTAGAAGGTAGTTGCTGTTATTATCTACCTTTTATAATTGAGGAAACTGAGGCAAAGAAGGGGGTAAGTGACTTGTCCATGGTCACATAGCTAGTAGGTATCCAAAGCTGTATTTGAACTCAGTTCTTCCTAACTCCAGGCCCAGTGGTCTCTCCACTGTACTAGCTGCTTCTCTTGATTGATTGCCTTGGACACTTAGTGTTCTAGAGGGGAAGGGAGACTTTGTGTGTATGGTGGGAGAAAGGATAGCTAGAGCAAGGTGAGAACAATGCCCTTCTGGATCCCTTACTATTTGTCATGTGTAATGACTACAATTAGAAGAAGCAGCAACGTGGGCACAGGTATCCAATTACCAGCTGCCATTGGCAGGGGGACTGTGGGGGCACGGGGAGAAGACATCCTTACAGAATCTTGTGGAGCTCTAGTCGCCTACTATACAGGCTGAAAAAGCTATGCTTTCTCTACTCATATTTATTACAATTAAATACACGAGAATGTCAGAGTTTATTTCCTATAACTGATATCAGTAAAAGGCTCTACGTGGCTTACAAAAACAAAGGCAAAATAAAGTCATTCCAAATAAATTATATCTAAGTATGTCTGTCAGGACATTAGTCTCTAGACAGCATGGTTACAAAAACTATTAGTTGTACGAAATGAATTTATTAATCCAAAAGGTCTTTTAGTTTTTTTTTTTTGTAATTTGATGATTTTGATGTTTTCTATACCAAAATACAGAAATAATGAAAATATCAATATGATATGCTAAATATAAAAGGAAACTCTGCTGAATTTACCCATTATTATATGAAAAGGATGGGGACTGAACCCATGATTTCATTCTTATAGGCAACTCCCGGGTGAGGAAATCCCCTCTATCAAGGCAAGTTAGGGCCTTCCCCACGAGTCATAGACTTAGAAAGTAGTATTTTAAAGTTAAGTGACTTGTCCAAGATTCCACAGCCCATATGTATCAGAAGCAGAAATTGAACCCAGGTCTGCTGGGCTTCAAGGCTTCTGGGCTTCTTTACCCATTATATTACACCGTCTAGGATAATCTAGAAATACTCAAGTATAAAAAGTTGGAAAATTATCTGATATATTTGCATTAGTCTAACCCTACAGTTGAATGAAAAGACTCTATAGAAAATACCGAGTCAAATAGGTTGAAAGTTTCTTAGGCAAATTCATGACTAGAACATTTTTGGAGGCCACAATTATCAATATTCCCTAAAACATGTCTCGCATGGCTCCTTTTTTTCCTTCCCTTTCCTACTCCCAGGGTACCAGGAATCTCTGTTGGATAGATTTCACTTACTTCTTTGAATCTTGAGGACTTCTCTCCGAACAGCTTATTGGCACTTTCAAGAAGATAATCATCTGAAGGTTGGTTGATAGCAGCGCTGAGAGTCTTGAAGGAGGAGTGGGTATTGTTTCTAGCTTGTGCCTTTAAAAATAAAAAAGAAGGAAGAAGAAAGAAAAGAAAGAAAGAAAAAGGAAGGAAAGAAAGAAAGAAAGAAAAAGAAAGAAAGAAAAGAAGTTCTTTTTAATCTATTCCATGACTTTTCTTCAGTTGAACAGAAAAGTTCATGCTTAACAATTTTTTCAGAGATATCTTTCCTTAATATATTTTGCCAAAAATATAAAACAATGAAATAAAATCTGAAAATACGCTCTCTGAAGTTATGGTTTGGGACCTTACTGTATAATATAGGATAAAGGTTGAGTCAGATGCAACAAGGGCAGATGACACCCATGAAAATAAAAATTAGGACTCTTTCAAAACCACATAAATTATTTTATATCCCTTGGGAGCCTCTAAGGACCCTGAAGATATACCCTGTTGAACTGCTAAATAGCCTGAGCAAGCTCTTGCCTCTTCTGATATGATCCAGTTCCAGCTAAGGAATATGGCAAACACAGGAGGATCTACCTTATAGAATACCAAAGAGCTGCCTATAAATTACAGTTCTCAGCTTGAGGTCTCTATAAATAAAGAGGATGGATGCCCCTGTCACAGTCTATGGGAGGCGAGGGCCCTTTCTACCAGTTCTCTGTAGAAAACTTGAGGGTAGGAATATATTTATTATATTTATTAATATTATTAATATATTATATTTATTTTTAATATTATTAATAATATTAATATATAAATAATATATATTTCTTTTTCTTTCTTTCTTTCTTTCTTTCTTTCTTTCTTTCTTTCTTTCTTT